GAGTGGTGTATGATGAGTGGTGTATGATGAGTGGTGTATGATGAGTGATGTATGATGAGTGGTGGTTGAACAGCTGTTGAATGTCCGTAACACGGAAGTTTTGCACACTAAACTTCCTTTGATCAATAAGACATTACCAGATCGAATAAATGATACAAACACAAAGGAGATCTAACTAGACGATTTCAGTGTTGGTTTTTGCGCTGCTATCAAAAGGTTTGTGTGCGTTGATGGCAAATCACACCTGGTGCGTGTGAGGTGAATACCACTGAGTAACCAGTACGTTCCGAAGAAGCAGGGTCGGAGCGAACCAATCGCCTCAGCGTCGTTCGAAACTGCCTTTCCAAGGTCCTGGAACTGACATATGAACAGAGAATCGATCAGAATGCTGTTGGAGCTGGACAGAGACCTTTTTTTTGCAACCACAACTTTTTCTGTCGAAAAAGTGTAAGTGGGACGAGCGGAATGCCCTTTTCCCCGAGATGTCGATGTGCCATGCGGTGCCGCTGTGACCCCATGTTTCATCATCCGCAACCAAAGATCCAAAAGCTACGCCTTGAAATACAGTATTGAATTTTAACATCACCTGGTTGAGACCTCGGCTGCCCCCATCTCTATGTCAGATCTCTATTTGAGATCTGGGAGGCTCACCGGGTGATAGCCTTCCATGTTTAGCGTGCCTCGCACCGTGCCTCGAGGCACTCGACGCACCGCGCCTCGCTCCAGCTGCTTCGTCCGACTCGGAGCACCGACGCTCAGAGCTCACCCAGCTGAAAGCGCAGGACGTGGCGGGCGTTTTCGAGACCGGGACGAAAGAGAGAGACCCGGACGACCGGCGAGTGTGAGAAACACAGTCGGCGCAGTCGACACGTCTCTTTTTTTTTTGTCTTTCTGGTCACTGTAGGAACATCACGGTTTCTCCTTTTTTTGGCGGGTGGGTTGATGCAAATGGATATTGGTTGTGGGTGAAAAAACAGGAGACCTTGGATACGTCGGGTTGAGATCTTGAACACCCACGAGATTCCAAGTAAGAATCCGCTGTTTCTCTTTGTTAAACTCTCCTTTACCCATTGGAATCACATGGGTGATACACAAAATACCTGGAATATCCTGGAATCATCTGGAATCTATGTCGACCGTAGACATATAGACCATCCACAGAACCGCTGAAACCACAGAAAGCCCTGGGCTAACCGGCCCAACCTGGCAGTCTCCACCTCCGCTGCTCCACCTGCGCCACCTGCTGTCATCGACGCAGGTCGAAGACTTGCGCCGATGTGCCGCGGAGTGGTCACAAGAGAATTCTTCCATGGAGGCCCCAGTGCCAACGCAGTGCCAACGCAGTCCACGCAGGGAAGGGTGATGGGTGCGGGTCATGTGAAGGGTGGATGAAACAGGGAAGGGTTATGAGATGTTACGAGTCAGTGTGAGTGCTTGAAAGTTTGCGTTTTCTGGTTGCAGCGCTTTGTACTCACACCTTCTAGCAGGGCTCTGGTGCGGGGAGCCTTGGGAACCTTGGGAAGTGTGCCGCAGCGCCTCCAGCAAATACTAAAGCATCCCCTACATGGCAGATGCCGTCTCACAAATGAAAAAAAACCATCCACCGCAGATTCAGGTGGCACTGGCACTCCTAAACGGAGGGATGCTTCCCCAGGAGAGCCGACGATCTTCGAACAACCAGAAGATCTTTCGCACCCAATCAGCCCCAAGAGGCATGGAGGTTCGCAGGCGATCTTTCGCTAGCTTCACAGGTGACTGGACCATGTCGGTTGTGGGGTCGGTCGAAGATCCGCTGGGCCCGGAGCCACTGCGGAACCGCTCTACTCGGCTCCGCACGGCTCCGTTCCGCCAACTGTGCAGCCGTCCAGGCTCGGCTGGGACGGCTGCGTGAGAAGGCGGCAGAGGATCTGGAGCGCGCCGTGCGCCGGGAGCGATGGGATGCAGGGGACAGTCTATTCTGACTGGCCTTTCGGTGGGCTGTCGGTAGGTGAAGTCTGCCCGAAGAGCCCGATGTTGCAGATACCTACGGATCTAGAGCTACTTGAAGCAGAGTGCTGCTTTCAAATAGCTCCAAACCAGATAGAATAGTAATAGTTTACCAAGACCCCCTCCAATAGATTCCAGCCGTTTCTATCTATTTGGGGAAAACAGGGCCCTCATACGGAGGGGTCTGGGGTCTCAATTCCCTATGGTTTTGAGGGACCAAGGGCTGTTTTTGGAGCGTCTGGGTAAACCCTTTTTCGATTTGACCCAAGGCACACGGCTTTTCTCCCCCAATGGGCGGCGCCTTCAAATATGCAAACGGAGGTTGAAGAACCCTACAGACTATCCGAGAGGTACCCCTTATAGGTCACTTAACCTCTATTGGTACCCCCTCACTGCACATCACTGCAGGAAGAGCTGACAAGTGTGGGCAGTGGGTGTTGGGGGTCCGAAGTTGGTGCTTTCCGAACCCGCGAAGTTGGTGATCCTTTTGTGGCGAAACCAAAACGGACGTGGGACACCAGAGCCGAGTCGAGGTACCTTCCGAAGCTAAACTCTGGACCTGGCTGGATGAACCATTGCTGAAGTCACTTGGCCGGATGCAGGCTTTCTTCGACCTCTGGGTGGGGTCTCTCTCTCTCTCTCTCTCGTGAGGCTGGTGACGCTGTTGGTCAAGTCGACGTGCTTGCGAAGATCCTTCGCCTTGCATTTGCTGGCCACGTGCAAACGCGATCGCGGGGGCGTACTTGAAGTGAATAAGACTTGGCTTGCGATACAGATCGATTCAGATGTGCTGTGTCATGACGGCAATTTCCGGCATTTCTTTTGCATTTGGGCTCGAGACCAGCACGGCTTGGGCACTCCAGCAATGTCGAAGTGTGCTCCCCAGACTCGGGAGAGAGAACATCACCGCGAGGGGGAGAGCGAAGGTGCGAGTGGTGCCCAGGGCATCGAGGGGTTCAAAACGGACCAATTCGCATGTGAGAGTGATTGGCAGTTTTGATGATATTTTCAAAGATACAGTAATAATCAGTAGTACTACCAATTTTATTAAAATAATTCTACGATTTCTACTATGGCAAACTGGCATGCTGAAAACAGTCAACGATGCAAAAAATGCTCCTGTCAGGATCAATCACAAGTGCAAGTCATCTCTATTTTGAGCTAGTAGGTTAGAGGCCATCGCTAGTAGGTTGGAGGTCATCGCTAGTCGGTTGGAGGCCATCGCTAGTAGGTTGGAGGCCATCGTCAGTAGGTTGGAGGCCGTCGCTAGAAGGTTGGAGGCCATCGCTAGTAAGGTTGGAGGCCGTCGCTAGTAGGTTGGAGGCCATCGCTAGTAGGTTGGAGGCCATCGTCAGTAGGTTGGAGGCCGTCGCTAGTAGGTTGGAGGCCATCGCTAGTAAGGTTGGAGGCCGTCGTTTAGTAGGTTGGAGGCCGTCCCTACTGTAGTAGGTTGGAGGCCATCAGTAGGTTGGAGGCCATCGCTAGTAGGTTGGAGGCCGTCGCTAGTAGGTTGGAGGCCATCGCTTGTAGGATTCTAGGTCAAAACCATGCCCACGGGCCACCTCCTGAGCACACTGAGGGATGGCCCCATAGCAATCCGAAGCGGTGCAACAAGGAGGTTTAAGGCGCGATGGACGTCGGTTTGACCCGGACAAATATACAAATCAAGTTGGCGGATCAACATGTGAACTTGCCGCTGGCCAACTCCAGTTTGTTGGGAATTGGTGCCAAAATTCATGTGTGGAACATGCTTGGACCAACTCTCTTGTTGGGGTCGAACCATCGGTCGGTCCCTCAACCCACCGTTGCGGCCTTCAGGGCATCGATCCCTGGAGCATCCCCCCCGTTCGCCACTGCGAGTCAAAACCTGGAGCCTGCAGGAAAACATTTGGTGGGTTGACCTCCTGAAGAATCTGACGAATCTGTTCATTTGCAGGGGTCAACCAGGGTGGAAATGGGGTTGCCATTGACCCACTGCGTTCTTCGAGTTCCGCTCACACGGTGTGTCTGGATCGGTGTGTCCGCTTTGCGGATGAGACCAGGTGGAAGGGTAGACATGGATAGAGCTTGGCCATAGAGCTTTTGGGCACCACTTTCACAAGCTCTCTGAGTCTCTTTTTTGGGCGGTGTTGGTCATGCCAGGCCATGTCGAGGTCCGGTAGCATCTCAAGGGTAGCAATGTGAGCCACTTTGAGTTGTTTTCTCCAGGCGGTTTCGGTGTGGCTCACGGAGTGGTCTGTAAACCCCAAGGAGTTCGCAACCGAGGGCCTCCATGTATGTTGCCAGCCAGCACACCCTTCACGTCGCGAAAGTTTTTCGTAAGATAAGCAAAAGGTTTGAACAGACACATTTACCACATATATGTATATATATATACACACATGTATATGAAACCATTACAACCCAAACAGGTCCAAAGACCAAGTACAAAAAGGTCTTTGACTCGTAGGGTGACACATATCTCACGTTAATTAACGACCGATATTTGCTTTGTTTGTGCACCCATGTTTTGCTTGCAAGATCACACCAGCCATGAAACCAGCAGAAGCGACGAGTTCGTAAGACAAGCAAGTTGCAGAGGGGGCAATGGATGAAACACACGGGGGAATGAAGGGGGCTCGAGGGGGCAATGGATGAAACACAAGGGGGGAATGAAGGGGGCCCAAGGGGGCAACGGATGAAACACAAGGGGGGAATGAAGGGGAGACACCCAACCAACAGTCGCCGACGCCAACACAGCCCCCCCCACAGCGGCGCAACGAACAGCGACAGCGGAGCCGAAGCCCGGCGCCACCAGGATTACGTTTTCATATGCGGTGATGGGACATTTGATGTAATTATGGGGAAACCACACTGTATACAATTTGTTTCAAAGGAAGGTTTGCCATCTTTTTTGGGATGGTCAAATTTTGGACAAGTTCAATCCCTATTGTTTTAGAAACACAACTATCAAACTCGGCAATAAATTAAAGCCCCTTTGTCCAAAATGCACATCCTGACCAAGAAGCGGAATACATTGACACTACGTAGCGACCTAGATTGCCGCTGACGGAGATCTAGCGTGGTCGGCTTTAGGCAATTGATGGAATTCAGAGAATGAATAGGAACATTTCAATGAAGTTGGGAGCAACACTTCTAAGTGCCTGGCAAACCAAGTAGCCCTGCACGCTTGCACGCCCCAACCTCTCCTAGCTTCTCAACCTCACCCATTCCTTTGAACAAAGTCCAATGCGGGAAGCAAGTGGTCCCAACTGGGTTGGTCGTTTTCGGGTTGGCTTCTGTACAGCTGGGCAGATGCGACCTCATCTCCAGCTGGCTTGAATCGACCTGACGACCTGACGACGGACTCCCGTCAATGGATTGACTGCTCATGTTGCGACAGGCAGCACTGACATGCGACAAAGCAAGCGACAGCAAGTGCATGCCTCTGAACCATTCTAAACCCACTATATCGATCCGGATGTTACACAAATTCAGGCTTTGGGTCTAATATGGCGTATGCACCGCCTGACACTACACATCATTTTTCAAGAAAGCCTTCTTGTGTGACTCTGTGACATTTTTTATTCAGCAATGTCGATGCTTTCCCGCAGCAGTCGAACGACGACAACAGCTGCATAATCACTGCACAACCGCGTGCCAGCAGATCGCTGGTGTGTGACCTTTGCCGACTTGAGTTTCTTTGGAAAGGAACTGCAACATGCAATCCGATGTGGCGAACTTGAGGCTCTCTCAGATGAGGAGGCTTGTTGGGAAGAGTACGGGCCAAACATTTACACTGTGAATGAGCAATACATCAAGCCTGTGACGCTCCGTGCCGGCAAGATGAGTTGGGCTTTGATGCGACATCGAGACGGTTTGGACTGTGATTTGTTCATTAGCCATGCGTGGCAAGAGGGTGTTTTTGAATTCTTAGCCAAAGTGCGACACTCTTGGCCGAGAGGTTTGCGACATGCTTGGTGCTGTATGCTTGCCAATCCTCAAAACTTGAATATTGAAGTTTTTTTGGCCTCGCCAGCCAATTCGCCATTTGCAGTTGCCTTGCGGGCCTCTGAAATCGTGTTGGTGGTGTCTAACCGTCACGCGAGCGTCTACTCCAGGCTTTGGTGTGCCTATGAGGCTTACCTGGCCCAAGAAGAAGGTAAGGTCATTGTGATTGCCACAGCCTCACATGTTCATCACCATTTGCACTTGTCGTTGCGAATGGTTGGGGCAGCCATCTTTGGTGCTTGTGTAGGCAGGACGCTCTTTTTCTTCAAGTTCCGTGGCCCCATAGGAGCTCTAGAGTTGGTCGGAATTTCTTCTCTTCTGAGTTTCTGGATCAGCCACAATGGGCTACGGATGGTCCTGAATTGTTTCGGCCAGGCGGTCGTATGGTTTCAATTGACCAATTTTTACGACTACATCCATCCCAAGGGTTCCAAACAGGGTGGACTTGCAATTTCGGGAGAAGTACTTGCCGCATCGCGCATGTGCTACTGGCTGATGGCTTCAATTGTTTTCTATACATTGGATGTCGACCGCGTTGAAGGGAGATGCACGAAGTCAGAAGCTAAAATGCTCCGCCAGGGCTACACTGGCATTGAAGACGCAGAATGTTCACAAGAAGCTGATGAAAGAGCCATTCGCAGTGAGATTGGCGATCAGGTTGATGCTGTAAACCATGCCATTGAGGTATTGATGGCCGCTGGTATGTCAACGGCAAAGCTCCGGAAGCTCGATCGGGCAGGGGTGAACATCAAAGGGTTTGCGTTTTCAGAGATCACCGGAGCGGTGATTTTGATTGGCCCTTGGGGCATACTGGCGAGTGTGGAAGCTGCAATGACCTACATGCTGAAGCATGGGGGATACTGGTGGTTCCTTGCAGTTCTCCCAAGTTCAGCTGTGCTTGGGAGGGTGATTTTGATTGTTTTGCTTTGCTTGAAACCAAGGGATGAACGATGCTTCGTTCTGAAAGTCATGAGCAAGTTCATGGCAGGGATGTTTGGATTCTTTGCGATTGGAGTGGCCCTTTCCCATGTTTTTCGCTTCACCACAGTTGCTTTTGTTTGGCTGGCTCTTGCAGATATTCTTATAGTGGGGAATGTTTTCGTGGTTCTCCTTGGTATTGAAGGGACATCAAAGTTTCCTCTTGGTCTGGACATATTACATTTTCTATTGACCAGGGGGGAGGTATCAATGCCCTCCATGCCACCTGGCCGAGACGAGTGACGATGACGGTTCGTCTGAGTATGATACTATATTGTAGTGAGTCTTTAGAGAAAGCTTGGAGTGTAAAATTGAGCTGCAGCTGAGACCTGGAGAATTGAAAGGTACCTGAATGCTATTTTTTGTAGCCCGTGGCCTTGCCTCCTTACTTAATTAAGTAGGCACCTATTTATTTAAGGGCGGCTGGGGTGGGTTTTTAGGGAAACTAAACAGGGTGGCATTGTATTTAATAGTCTTTGGTCTATTTTCCTTCTCCCAGGAGGGGTCGGTTCACTGGGAGGTCTAGTCTAGTCAAGTCACCGTATTTTTGACTGTAGGTTCCACGGGAAGAAAGTCCAAACCGGCCCCGTTGTCCCGTGGTCGTCCCGTTGCGGAGGCCTCCTTGGCAGGGAGCCGCAACACCGAGTTCCTGAAGCTCGTGGAGCGAACAGAGGCGGCTTCCGGTGGCGAGCCGACTCAACCAGCTGAGCTTGAGTCGGTTGAGTGAACCAGGACCCAGTCCACCTGGGGTACCGAACTGGGAGAGTCAAACTAGGGTTCTTCAGCCTTTGTTGGTTTGTGTTGAGTCTGGTTTTCGGGGACGCCTCTTTTTGGATTTCGTCCGGCAGTTGCAAAAGCGCCCGGAACCGCGGAGGACGCATGAGGACGCTGTGGCTCATGCCCGACGTCTTAACATGTCATCTTAGCTCCACTGAGTTTAGGAGTGAACATCGGAACCTCTCCGAGGGGCTGAAGCAGAGACTTCCGATCCCTACGAAGAGAAGCTACTAGTGGCTCCTGGCCTTACTACGCACGGAGCAAGGATGCTACTAGGGGCTCCTGGCATCGCTACTAGGAGCAAGAAGCTACTAGGAGCAGTCAGGGCACCCACTTTACCAAAAGAAGTGCCACCCAAAAGAAACATCTTTGGAACCTCCGAGGGCTGAAGCACATGAGACTGCCATTGATGATCCGAAGAGAAGGCAGTTGTTCTTTTTTTTTTTTCGAGTCCGACGTGTGATCAGCGCAGGGTGCCTTTCAGTCTGGAGATGACACTGCCGTGGAGGACAGTGGCAACTGTTTGGTACGTCAACCGATTGAGCCCAAACATGCTTAAGCTACAGATTTGACATAGGATGAGGTAGAATCAGAGAGCGGTTCAAACCTGTTTAATCAAGATCTATTTTCTTTTCGGGGCATCCATGATGCAAACGAGTGCTTTTGGTCTTTCTTTTTTTGGTATTACGGTACCACACCGAACACCGTTGTGGTCGCATCGCATCGCTTCAACCGGAGAACAACCCGGCACCGTCGAAGACGTATCCTGCGACGGAGCGGCGACGGACAGCACGGAGGAAGTGAGACGAATCCTGGCAGAAGTTCGAGTTCAGTACGATCAAGTGCACCTGGAGTCCGAGCGCCGGGAGGCGAGGAATGGCGAGGAAGCACGTGCGAGGTAAGCGAGGTGAACCCCGCCGGATTTTGGACGGGCCATTGGCGGTGGCTGTTTTGGGGGGGGAGATGGACATTTTTTTGGGAGTATGACACCGAAGAAACAACACAACACCACCTGGAAACCCTTGTGTTGGCTGGGTATGGACAAAAGTGTGTCAGGAGTCAGGATTTACGAATTTTGTGTGAGTATAGTTGAAATCCACGGCGCTCTCAGAGGAGGTCCCAGTTCACCATATTGGTTGATTTACTGCAATAGAGGGGATACCTCCAAGTGAACAGCCACTAGGTATAGGATGTTATAGGTACCTGGCACCGACCCCTCTATTATTCCCTGGACATGGCTGGACTTCCAGGAGGTGTCGACGGGTGTCCTTCTTCAAAAGGCGAGCAGCTCGCCCTCTCTCGGACGGGCCTCGCGAGGCTGAGATTGCGAAGCTGCGCGAGCAGATTCGCGTGGCTGACCGGAGCCATGGTTACGGAGCAGATGAGTCCACCAAGAAGGAGGCAGAGATGGGGAGAGCAGGGAGTAGGGAGGGAACGTTGGGGGAAAAAGGTTATGACTATATGACAAATATTGACACAACAGTCTGCACAATGACACAGAATGATGACACCAAACGTGACCACAAGACACCCTGACCCCAAGGATGCCAATGCGTGAAAAAACACCTCGCCAGTTACCTGAACCCCCTTCTCCTACCAGTGTCTGGCATGCTCTAGACATTCAATTGGCCGTCAAAACCTGGAGCCCCTGTCATCCTGGTGGGTTGACATCCCGAACATGAACATAGAGGAATCTGTTAGGTGGTCAACCGGACGGTCCGGCTAGATATAGCTCCAAGTCTTAGGGTGCCCACCACAGTGGTGCCCATTTGGGTGCGACGTGGACTGGCCGACTGGCCGACCGGGGGCCCACCACAGTCCACTGCTGAGACAGTGGAGCATCGATCACGCAGCCTGGATATCCAATATATATATATATATATATATCCCTTTGATCTTGAGCTAGTCGAAGTTTACTCAGATCCCAGATCAGCCAAACCAAGCCCAAAGGAATTTGGAAGAGCCAACATGAAAGGTGAAGGGTTCCGGTCATAATGTTCCTTGGACACTAGTCTGTTTTGTGATGTTTTCTTCGTTTTGGGGTCAGCCGCAGCGCTTGCGCTTTGATTCTACATTGCTGCTGACTGCTGGCTTTGTTTTCCATGCGTGGGAAACACATACACCACTCAGCATTCGTTGATCTTCAGATAGCTTTGGATAGCACTGGGTGCGCTGCTTTGCCATCCTCGCTCGCAGCCATCCAGCTGCCCTGAGGACTCCTGCCACGCAATCAACAAGCAGTTCGAAGAGACCACCAGGGTTCGGGGGCTGAGCTTGGGGAACGACCTGGGAGGTCCTACAGTGAACCGACCTGAAAGGGTAACTACTGATCAACTCCTTTTCTGAGGCCTTGGTGGAAGCCAAGACATCAAAGAAGGTCTACACTCACATGTGTGAGAGGCCCGCGAGCCCACGGGACGGACTGGCTGCAACGGCAACGCTGGCTTATTGTGTGCCAGATCAGTCTTTGTAGTGCCTTTCTTATTCACTTCTTACCCTCCCGACAACCCCAAGATCTCCAAGTCTATTTGTTCAGCTAGATGAAGAAGAACGTGGCATGTAATGAATCATGTCCTGGAAACCCAGAGTGATCACAAGAAAAAAGGGCACCATCAGCGATCGATCACGACTGCTGTTTGCTTCAAATTGGCAGGATTACAAAAGAACAGGCGCTCTTGAAGGAGAAGCTCCTTTTAATGGAGGCTCGGCCTCGCCCTCTGATCCCCCTCTTCGCCGCAGCCGTATCGCTGAACACCTCTTTGGGACGCCGCGTCCGTTGCCCGAACACCCGCGTCCGGCGGATGCGGTCTCGACTTCACGAGGCGCACCTGCAGAGAAAGTCGGCCGAATCACAAAGGAAGGCGATCGGAGAGATCGGGCGCGATTTTTGTTGGTGCGTTGGCAGTCTGGGCAAGAAAGATGAGGACAACAAAATAAGCGCGTGAAACAGGGGTGATGATGTCCAAACAATAGGAGCTGCACAGCTTAACATTTTGGGGGGTTCCGATGATGTATATATCACTCAGCTGGGTCTCAAACCCCAAACGCCTTTGAAACTGCTGAGCTCATGGGGGTCTTATTGGACCGCCAAGAAGTGCGCACACAGAGAGAGAGAGAGAAGGAGAGACCCCCTTGCTGTTCAGGTTGCTGTTCAGGAACGTCTCGTGCGCAAAGGAGCTCAATGTTCCCAGGCCAGATGTGTTTCTTTTTGTGTGAATTGGATGTGGATTCGGATGACCAGAGGCAAGCTTGTCCTTTGGCAGCTACTAGTAGCAAGGTGCATTGCTACAAACGGAGCAATAAGCTACTAGTAGATCTTTGCATTACTACTAGTAACAAGAAGCTACTAGTAGCTAGCTTGGAAAGGCCACCAAAGTGGTTGAAAGGGATCGCTACAAGGGTGCCATGTTCTCGTGGCTCTCCTGACCCAACTGCCCTAGCAGGCCCTGGTTCCAGGGCCTGGTGTAAAGACATGCCACAATCGATATGTCCGCTGATTGTGAGGTGTAAACCAGCCTAGTGTCATCCTGGCTTTACCATCCGTTACTATCAGGTCCTCACAAGATGTTCGCAGTTTGGGCTGGTGCCAAATGGGAGAAGCTTCCATTTCGCTCCCCGGATCAGTGAACACAGACCTGGCTGGCCCATGACACTTGTCTTCGTGAGCGACTTGACAGCCAGGACTTGGACATTTTAGAACAAGATGTGGAACACGAACGAGTGGTGCCCCCCCCCCTTTTTTCCGCGCGCGAGACACACGCCGAAGCTCGCACCATGCTGAATCCTAGCGCTCGCAGAGCGCGCTCAGAGAGGGAGAGAGAGAGAGAGAGAGAAAGAGAGAAAGAGAGAGAGAGAGAGACAGATAGAGATAGAGATAGAGAGAGAGAGAGGGTGGGCATTTTTTAGAGGGCTTTGAAGGGTGGATAGTGATGGATTGATGGATCTACTTGGAAGGGGTGGTAACTCTGGCAACAGAAGCTCAGGTACGCGAAGATGCCTTGGCAAAGATGGCATCCTGTCTACAGGCAGCGTTCTCTTCAGGAGAAGAGTCCATGATAATTGTGAACAAAGCTGCAAAGACACGAAAAGAGCATTGAACGGACGCCAAAAGGGGATGGTCCGTTTGCAGTCGCTGTGTGTGTGGTTTTGTACTGAAAAACATCACACATCCCAAGGTGCTTGTCTGACATCATACGTCGAGCTTTCGGTCTTCGCGAACAACGGCGTCCGAAATCGGTGACCACCTCGCCTCGGCTCGCCCCCCCCGACGAGGCCAAGATCGAAGCGGGCGAGCGCCGCAAGAAGTTTGAGGAGTGGCGTCACGAGGCGAGGGACGAGAGAGTTCCGGAGTTCCAGGAGTTCGCGGCCGGCCCCACGCGGAGTTCCGGTCGGGAAACCGATGACGTGGACCGGAACAGGGGGGAAGGTGATGGGGTGCGCCGTGGTCGAAAAAGGGACCGACTGGTCACGATGCCACCCACACCATGGAGTGGACTAGGGAGGGATTTGTTCACCGCTTTTCACGGTGCAGCCACTAGCCGCTATGTAAGAGCTAGGGTTATATTAAGTTGAATATAGTGGTGTGTTTTCTTTCGCACTTCTTAGATCTTCTTAGTGCTTCCACGTCACTCAGCCTTTTGGGGGTCCGGAAAGGTCAGCGGCAGCGGGAGGTTTGGTTCAATGATCTTCCCGTGCGCCAGTGTCTGCAATTTGGGAGTGCATTACGGGAGACGACCGTTTCCCCCTTTCCGGAATCGAAAAAGACCGGGTCTCCCTGCTGTCGAACACGTTCGCCCCTCCCGAATGGCCACACCGGGGGCCTCGGAACCAGGTGGCACTGGATGCGGCGAACGAAGCCTTCAACGCCTCCGCCGGCCGCCTGCGCAAGCTCTACGCGGCCCGGGCCGTCACGGGTGAGAGCGCGCGGGTCCCGCGGGGAACCGGGACGCCTGGTGAAGCAGGGGGGGGAAGGTTGGAAAGTGTTTTTTCTACACTATCTCCTTCACCTTCAAATGAATGGAGACACCTTCTTCCATTCGTCTCCTTTAGGTTGCCCCAAGATGTGGGAGTTGGATGAAGACCCCCATGCACTCATGATCCTTGGCCTGGGACTCCGTGACTGGCATTTGGGACATGGCCCCCCAATTCTCGAGCCCAAGTCCGAACGGACATGACTCCTAGGCCGGGCCACCGCGTTCCCCTAGACTCAACATGAAATACCTAGACCCAGCCAGTCCAGTCTGCCGTGCCAGTCATGGCCAGTCATGGCCAGTCGTGTGGCCGAGGTTGAGAAGCTCGCCGGCAATTGCCTTCAAAAGGTGACCTTCGAGCAGGTCAGCTGGCAGCCGGCCACCTGCGCCAAATGTGTGAAATGGAGTGAAATGGGTCTTTTCGACACTGAAGCAAAGCTGGTCTCCTTCTAAGTCACACGGAAGTGGAACACCCCTTCAAGGCATTTTCCAAGGGACCCTTGTAATTAGCTGTTCTTCTTGTGATGTGATTGCCAGTTAGTCGTTGACATGTCTTTCTTTCACACTCCACGCCCCGAGTCGCACACACACACACACACCACACATCCCACACATCCCGCACATCCCACGACTACTGCCACAGTCCCACTCATTCAGCCAAGCCACGCGGTCACGCACTCGCTCGCTCGCTTGTCAGAGTGCCTCGGAGCCATGTGCCCCGTCAGGTGGAGAGATCTCAAAATACCGAGGACGGGTTTCAGAAGATCAGAGAGGCCCGGATGACCCGTGGGACAGCGAGACTAGCACAGCAACGATCTTGAAGCACGAAAAAGTGGGACAGCATGGGGGGGGTGGCGAACATGTGGCGATCGTGCCTTTTTCGTGCAGAACCGAAGATAGGGGAGCAGGCAAAGTGGACGGAATTGGTGGTAAATGGATCTGCATCTTCCTAAAGTGTCCCACTAATCGTTAACCCCAGCTGCCTGTCTGGGGATTTCCTTTCGAAAACGGTTTCGATCTTAGGATATCTTTACGGATGCCCAACCAAAGAATGCTCTCAACCAAAAACAAAAAAGCGGTTGGTGCACCGAGCGCGGCAGTGTTCTTCGTCGACCGAGCTTTCTTGGTCTGGCAGTCTGCATGGACTCGTGAAGCCGTGGAAGCCAATGTAGATGTCAGTCACGTCGTTTCTTACAGGTGAAAATGGTGAAATGATTCCCACCTGGTTCTTCAAAGTGACATTTAGATAACCTGGTTTGAGGTCACTTATGCCTACTAAGGGTCACTTAGGAACCTTCGAAAGGTCACTTTGAAGAAGCTGGGCAGTGAAACGATTCCCATGCATGGAAGCGAAACCAAGACCTGAGAAGAGTTTCTCGTTACTATTCGAAGCTTCAAAGACGTTCTTCTCGGCACGGGTCGTGTGTGCTATGCTGTCGCCCCACCCCAAGGGGTCGCCCTATGGTAACAAAGGGGCATTGCTACTATAGTAACAAGAAGCTACTAGGGGCTCCTGGCCTTACTATATACAAGTAACAAGAAGCTACTTGTACTAGTACCAAGGCGTAAGCTGGGCAATGAAAGTCGGGTTCGACTTTGTCACCCGAAATTCGATTGGACTCCTCGATCAAACCAGCCGCCACACACCAGGTCACTGGTCTTGCAGACGTCATGGACATTGTGCACAAGTCTTCGGCTTAGATGAGAAACGAAGGTCCAGACCCCCAACTAGTGGGACAAGTACCCGCAACTAGTGGGACAAGTCACATCCAGCTTCCAAATCACGGCAGAACAAGCAAATCTTATACACATGTCATGTCGATTCTTGGTTTTGCTCAGCGGTTCAAGCTGTCCCTAGCATTCGGACATATTCCAACACGTTAGTACCCCTCAAACCCATGTATGTTGGCTCAACCACTCAACAAAGCTAATGATCAAAGGCGCATATATAGGGGCTTCTTTTTCTTGCTCAAACCTACCAAAGTCAGCTGACTTTGGGGTTGATGGACATGTTTCATGTTCTTTTTGAGCTCAGCTTTCTACCAGGCTCCCACCCTCCCCAACCTCACCACCCTCCCTCACCACCTCCCACCCTCACCGTCCGGTCCAAGGTTCCTGAACCGAGACGTCGAGCACGAGCAGCTCAAGAGCTCCGTGAAGGAAGCGGAGGCGTCGAACGCGGGTCGCCGCGCTGCGCGCCGGACCCGGTCAGGGGGCGCGCCGGACCTGGACCCGGACCGGACCCGGACGGGGACGGCGATCGACCTCGTTTGGAGCGGGGACGGCGATCGGATTTGGAGCGGGCTGTCTCAACAGTTAGGTGGTGCAACACACATCGATCCCTGCAAGTCCAAAGTGCTAAGTGAAACGAGGAGCCTTTGTTTGTCGGAACCCATGCGCTTTGATCCAAGCGAGTTCAACATCACCACGCGAATGGCACATAGATCCTGCAAGAATGCACCAAAAGTTCAAATTCATGCGAGCAACAAAACAATGTCAGGATTTCCTTACATATTACACACATCAAGGGGACTAAGGACCTGTTACGCTCCAGTTACACTCCTGTTATGGCTTTAGAAGATCATTTGCAGTTTTAGAAGTCTCGGGGAGGGGGCGGAAGTGGAACTGTTACGCTCAATGATTGGCCCACAATTCATTCCTTTTTGCTCTGAATGTCGAAACATGAGCCCAACAAACCACCAAGAACACCTCTGATTTTACTCGAAATTGCCTTTGATTCCCTTCCAAACTACCTGACAGATCATGAACATTGCTTTTAGCGGGACGGAAAACTAGATGTAATAAAGTATAAATAGTGTTCATATGTGTTCATTATCTCAAATTCTAAATGAACATGTTTAACCAGGTCATTGACTTGAGGGTATAGTTTTTATTTTCTTTTAAATGAGATGTCAATCGAAGGAACGGCTCCCTGCTGGTTGAATTAGTATGGTGTACGTCCGATGAGTGACTTTTTCGTTGAGGATTCTTCACGTCGTTCGCATTTTGTCTTCGAAGATGCAAAGGAGAGGATGCAAGTATATAGGTCCAAAAGGCAAGACAGGCAAAACCATGCCAGGTTGACCTTTCCAGAACTCACAAATTTGGTTGGCTTCTGTTGGGTCCTTTTCTTGGGCTCAAACCCATCGGTCCAAACCCAGCCGGCGCCGGCCTGGACGACCGTCACCCTTCTGTTCACGTCACTGACTTCGGAAATCAGCAACAGGGAGGCGTTTGGGCTCTTCTTTCGGGTCTTCTTGCGCATGAATGGAACTCTTCCGAGGAATCACATAGGTTGGAACTCTTCCCAGATCCACCGTCACTGTTCTCTCTCCAGATGCGCTTGGATACCTTGCGGGAGCAGTTTGAGCGCTTCAAGCGAGACACCGATGGTTTCGGGGACCCAGTGGGGAGCGAAAATGGGGGAAGCGAACAGCTTTGGCCCATTTGAGTTGTAGAAAGACTGGGTTAGACATGGCTAGACTCCTAGACATCATCGAGTGTGAGGAGACCTCCAAAAACATCCAAACACAAACTGCTGTTTTGACATTGACATAATTATCTATACCTTTAGATGTGACAAGTGCCCAGTCTTGATTTGACACCTAACAAGGAGTCATGTCGTTGCATTGCATCTCCAAGCAGGTCAACCTCCAGGTCCACCACCGGGTCACCACGGGTCTTCGTGTCGTACCGGCGCATTCGTCGAGGCATCACCTTCGACACCGACACCTCGGGCAAGTCGAGGGCGATCTACCTCGAGGTCGACGCGTCGGTTTCGCCCGCGCGCGGGTGCCATGCGGAGGGACGAGGGCGGACCGAAGGGCGAGACGCGCGCATCGACGTTCGTTCGTCGATGAAGCGTCACCGTGTGCGGTCGTTGCCGGTACGAGATCGAAGCATTGGACGAGGACGAAGACCGGTGGCTTTGGAGAGGTCGAAACGAACATCTCTGGAGCCCAAAACGTGACCCCCGTGTTGATCGGAAAGAACGCCATTTTGGGGTGGGTGGCCCAAAATAGAGGTCACTCAGGTTATAGGTACTGGTGGAGAATCCAGCACCTCCGGATCCTTCACGCCTTCTTCCTGTGCTGGTGGATGACGAGGCATCCAAGAAATGCACCCTGGACGTGGGTCAAAGCCGACACATTCAAAAAATCAAAAAAACACCTAGTGTGTAAGCTTTGATGCAAAGGCTGAGCATTTTGCATACCCATGTAAGCGTCTGAACCTGCATGAACCTGCTATGTAAACTTTCGCGCCCCCTGAACCCTAGGACCTTTGGAAGTGGATTTTGTCCAATCATATGATTCATATGTCTTCCATGACCTGGAGCCATTGAAGATGATCTTCATGGCCATTGATTTTGGAAGAAGGGCTTCCAAGCATCGAAGATGCCTTGCAGAATTTCAGCATGTCGAATCTAGCATGTTGCTATCTTTAGTTCGGTCGAAGTGAAGACGATCAACTGATTATCTTCTGCCGCGTTCTGTCCGTTTATCCTTCTGCGGTTACGCTTGAAGGATGTTGCCGTTTTTTTGTTAACACCGCTCCAAGCACTGAAACATTGACATAAAGGAACAAGCAAAATATAGATTCGTAACCTATAAGCCAACGATACTACACATGTTTCCACTTCCATGATAGCCATGTCAGAATGTCATAATGTACTTGTCCACTTTTTTGTAAAAAGAACTCTGTGTGTTTGTCACCAGGTGGAGGAGCACGAGGCGAAGCTCAATCTTTGCCAGAAGGAGCCGCGCCGTGCCGGACCCCTCAACTTGGCCACTTCGACCTTTGGTGGCCTTTCATATCGATCTTTCGTTTTAGACAATAAGTTACGTAATTCCATGGACGTGCATGCTCTGAACGATTCACACAGGAGCACGAGCAGAGCCGTGACAAGCTCCAACAGAGCACTTTGCAGGCCAGCTGGAGCACTTAAGCCCTGTCTTGCTTTGGAGCATTTGCATCATTTGTCGATGGTCCCTTTGTCCCACTTGTCACTTGTCCCTGCCCGATGCAGGATAGACCTTTCACCACCTTCAAACTCTAAACGAGGTTTTGTTGAACCTTGTTTGAGAATGTGTTTCCGGTGATGGTATATGACAAGAGCCCAGTTCTGAGAAAACACACATCCAAACAAACTGCTAAAAAGAGATTCACATGTGAGCTTTGCGTCCCAAGCCTCCTCCAAGAGGTGGAGCATATGAAGCGATGGGCGAATCGCATGGGCCGCTCCCTCTCCATGTTCGAGGCAACCTCCGCGCCTTTCATGCCAGGGTCACTGGAGGGTCTCTGTGGATATTTGTGGATATGTTTGTGAGTCAAAACCTGCAAACCCTGAAAGGTTGACCATGTCTGGTAGTCTATTCTGTTCATGACCTCGGTGGGAAAATCCAGTCGGTCGACCTGGGTTTTGACCGCCTGTGTGCGGTATTTGGGTGCGGCTTCGCAGAACAAATCGAATCCTGTTCCTGTAATTAGAGTTGGTTTCCGCTTGAGACTTTCACATTTATGGGCGGTTCCATGACAAATCATGAGAGTCTCTCAGCTTAAGAAACGTCATCCTCCACAAACAGACGGTTTTCCACTTCCGGTGATGAATTCAAGGAGCGTCTGTGGCAGGACTGTGTTCGTGTGGAAAAGCCTTCGGACCTTCCTGTCCTGGCCTCAGTTGAACCGTTTTTCTCGCCACCGAACACACCAGGCTTGCCGAAGATGGTCTCCAAATTCCCGACCTTTTGGATGCTTATATAACAAAGCAACGCCGCGAGTCGTTCGTCGGACGGCCAACCTTTGCTTCGACTCCGAACCGAGAAGATGTAGGCGTCCGAGAAATCATCCATCAACTCACGCGGCAAAAAACACGTGGTCGTGACGCCTGGACGTATCTCAGAGACGTTCCCTGATCTGATCGGTCTTCCTACGCTCTCAGGTGTTTTACCAACAAATGCAGAGAGCTGTGGACAAATTTATTGCCCACATTGTGCAGCAGATCTCGTCCGGTAAGGCACGAGCGTCGTGTGCGGTTGCGACAGGAGACTGAGAGCGGCTGCGAAGCCCGCGAAGACGGTACTCGTGCACAGCGAGCGGGGGAGGGGTGGTTCTCACAGATGGACCAACTTCTTCACCCATAACGTAGACTCTTGATGAATAACCCCTAAAAATTGGACACTCCTCTTCATATGGGGGATGTATTGATCAAGAGTCTACATGACATCCTGTCAGCCAGGTGCAGGGTCGGGTCTCGCTTGTTCGGTGTTGTTTTCCGGGTCCCGCTCGAAACGGACCGGACCGGACCTCAAAGCACCGGAGCCGTGGAAAACGAAGAAGATCGAGAGATCGAAGCACCTCCCCGAAGTGACCCGTTGGCGGATTTCAGGAACATCGAAGAACCATGTTACTGTACTAGTAAGGCCCTTAGTTAATCTTGTTACTAGTAGCGATGTCCTTGTTGCTACTAGCGATGCCCTTGCTGTCAGTAGTAGCGATGCCCTTGCTGTCAGTAGTAATGCCCTTGCTAAGCTACTAGTAATGCCCATGTTTGGGTCTTCGCCACGGTACTTTCGCCACGGTACTTGGACCCTTCGACCTTAAGCAGAGGACGAACCAGGAGAAGGAACCAGGACAGCTGGGCTTCATCACTCGGTGGCACATAGGAGTCTACCCTCAAATCCTTCCGGCTGGGCTTGGAGGTGCAGAGGAAGAACATGGCCCAAGTGGCCAGCAAGGAGTACCACGAGGCGCGTTTTTTTGGCGAGATGGAAGAATGTCTCGCAAGTGGAGAACTCCCAGTTCCGAGCAACTCCCACTGAACATGTCCTCTCCAACAATTCAAAGGAATTCCATGGAATTCCAGTTAGTAGAGGAACCGTACGAGAACAACTCGATATCGAATATATATATATATATTTCCATATTTCCTCCATCTAGTGTTGTCCCATTTCAGATCTCGTACTCTCTCGTGAAAAGACAGCAAGCCCGTTGGATGGTTATCCTCATTTATCCTCTGTGGTCATCCATTCAGCCACTGACGTGATTCATTTCGGTATGAGCATTCACGATGGAACAGAGTGCCACGCAGGGCCGTCGGAGATCAGTTTTGCTTGCTCGGTTTCTAGTTGGTTTGTAGTTGTTAAAGCCTTGGCACTGATTTCTACGAGGTTCTATTGATCATGTTGATCTTTTTGTTTTAGCTTCTTTTCCAGGCTGAAGAACAAGGTCGTCAACGTCCGTGAGTCGGCCCCCCCACGCGTCGTGGTTTTAAACGCCTCGCCGTGCGGCCGACCAGGCACGCAGGCTCTTGGCCGACAAGGACTTCCTCAAGGCGCCGTGGGTGGGTGGCTCGGGCATGGCGGGGACGTCCGGACGGAGAAAACGGTGACCAGGAATGATGGTGACCAGGACCTACCAGCACCTGACCCAGTGACCTCGGATTGGCAAGTGACCTGAAATCAAGGCCTGTTTGTGACCTCATTCGGATCTCAAAAGGTCACTGGGAAGGTCGGTAGTTGCCATGCGTAGATCTGTTGATGAATACCACCCCCCCCGAAACCAAGGAGGTGTTGGCAATCCATGTTCTGCGGCTAAACGAGTCAGCAGTCTATAGTTGTGCATCTTCAGCTATTCGCATCGTTCGGACGAGTTGGACCTGACTCACCAAGGGCAACATATGGGTGTATTAAACTAGGGAGACCTCCCAAAGAACCCTGGGAGGAAGGAAGATAGACCAATACACACCAAAACCCATTGGTTTGCCTCCCTTTTGCTAAAATACACACCCATAAATTAATAAAGAGGAGTTAGAGGAGGATAGAGGAGGACCTCATATTCCCAAAGTCCTATCCTATCTTCTTTTTCTTCAGGGGAGGGTACTGTACCGCACCAAAACCAAGCTGCTGGAAGCTCGAGCATTCCACGACAGCAACTCCCACTAGCTTGTCCACTAGGATGGTTCGGTGATGTCTGAATGGATGGAAAAGTCCTGAAAAGCACATACGTGCGAACACAACACCCCTCAACTGTTGTCAGCACCGGTTTCGAAGGTTCTTTCACGTTTAATTTAATGTTTTAATGTTTCTTTTTTTTCCCGTTTTCCATTTAGTTTCCAGCCATGTCTTGCTCATTGACACTCTGCGCATGACGCGCCAAGCGTGCCAGGTGAATTGTCGCGTTCCAGCATCGTTAGATGCTGGTCGACCTCCATCGCGTCAGGCCAGGCCGTATGGGGTCGAAGGGGATGACCTACAGACTTGGTGAGCTGATGTTGCTGTCAGGGAGAGGGTGAAGCAGATCTGGTCGAGATCTGCCACGGAGCCCTGCTTGTGAGTTGTCATGGTCTGCTTCGATGTTGCCAGTGCTCAGTGCTGCACAAAACAGATTGCGATGAACACCATGAGGACGCCATGTTCGAGGGGTTGGAAAAAACAAACGACGCAACAAAGTTTTGGCTTTTGGGTGGTACGGTTGGTCGAAAGGACTGCTTTGCCAGTCAGTGACGGGAAGAGTCCATTTCCAACTCTAAGATAGGCAGCCGAGATGCTCCTGGTGCAGGGTGCAACTGGTGCTCCAGAAGAAGATGCCGCAGACGTTCATCAGCAAGAGCGTGAAAGGCCAGGGAAAGGAGTTTGGGGCCTCAAATGGTCCAAAATTCAAGTAGAAACCTCTCCTGAACCCCCAACGCCCAACGCTTTTGGGGTTCAAAACACAATAATGTCTTCTTTGTTGGTGTATATATTGGCAAGTGTGCATTGCAATGGACGTTAGCATGGATGCTCACATACTGTATTGCATAGGCAGATTCTTGCCATTCATACATCCTATTCCTGCCATTGTTGCCATTCATACGACATGTTGGGTCCAGGTGGCACTGATTGGCAGGTCCTTGGTTTTGCGAATAAAGTTCGAGTAATGAGGCGATGTGTTCAATCGCCTTTCGCGTGTGGCACAGTTCAAAAGGTCCCTCTCCAAAGTCAGGCCTGGAAACCCAAACAAGCACTGGTCGATTCAATATGGCAATTGAGATCCTTTATATGTAGGAAGTGGCTAGGTTGGGGAACATCCATTTGTTGGTTGGGGCTGGAAACCTCCAGAAAAAACTGAATGTGAGTCATTGACCACCTTCCAGGAGTCCTTGAACTTCATGTTTCAACATGTGTTTCAACCGTACCATCGCCGGCAACCTTCATTTCTCAGCCGTTTCCATCCGCTTTCTCCTTCGCATGGCCGCCAGGTGCAAGAAGGAATCGATGGATCGTGTGGCCGCGTCTGAAATGCAAAAGAAGAGGACGGGCATCGGTCGTGGTTAGCTACGTCTGGTGCAATGGGTTCCAAAAGGTGGCCCGGTGACCGGAGTGAGAAGGTGTTCCGTTCCGTTCTCCTAACAAGGGCAGAAAACAGGAAGACCAGAAGCGATTCGATTGATGTCCTGTCCTCCAGACCGGGACCGAGACTTGTCGGCGAAGTTGCCTAATGCTCAATGAACTTCTTGATTGAGAAGCCGAGCAATGATTGCTTCTTGCGAACATTCTTTTTGGTCCTGGATGCATTTCTCCCTTAAAGTGCAACAGCTGATCTTCGAGCGGTTTCACCCAATGTGAAGCAAGACGTTTTCATGTGCTGAAAGCAGCGTGTGAAGTTGTGAAGACACCAAAAAAGGCCATGCCGCGGCTGCATTGCCAGATGTTTGTCGCACCAGGTTTCAAAAAAACACAATCTTTTCAGGGTGCCAAGGCCCGGCTGGACCGATTGGAGGGTCCAGAGATGTGTAAAGTCATGGATCGATGTTCGATGATTGATATTCCTTTATTCATACCATATTCATACCGATAAGGAAGAAGTCATGATTACCATATTCATAGTCATACCATGGCTCTGAACATGAGATTCCTTATTCATACCATGGACCTGGACCTTCTTTCGGGGTGTCCTGGCTGGAGGTCCCTGTAGGTCGTGGGCCGGGGCGAAACCAGCCAGGTGACCCCGAGGTCGGAAGGTGCTGGGATTTTCCGATCCTTCGATCCTTCGCTCGAGGTACTCGTGGCTGTTCTTCTTGGTTTTCTGGCTGGAGAAGCATCCCTGAGAAGCATCCTGCCTTCAGAGGCAGCGTCTCGTCTCTTGTTGGAATTCTCCAGGACTCGTACTTCTCGAACTTGCGGTTTTCGAAGTACTTTCGCCGAATGACTATATCCACATCTATCGTGCTGGACAATTGGAAATACAACAAGTCCGAGACATAGATGTTGCTGTGGTCCCTGTTCTGGGATGTTTTGGGTTGCTCTCGAAGTCGCCATCTGCACATTCACTGTGAAAAGTACACCCGCAGGTTTTTGATCCAAGCACTGATGACCAGGTGCTCTTGGGGTATTCTTTTGTGTCATCATTTCAGTTGCTTCATTTTAGACTCCTGATGAGGAAAAACACACCCCAGGCCTGAATAGGTTTTAGCATCAATGTCGTGGGGGGGTTCTATTCATACAAGAGTTAGCATATGTCTATAATTGTTAAGTTATAAGCTTCTTGTTACTAGTAGCGATGGCCTCCAACCTAATGGCGATGGCCTCCACCCTGCGTAGTATCTAAATGAGTCAGTGAATATTGGTGAATTTCATCCCCCAGCGGGGCCTATAATCGGCTCTACCGCTGAAACAGCTTGGAAGCCGCGCCGCGAGGGTGCGCGCCTGGAAACCGTCGTGCGCGTTAGCACCGCGCCGCTGGGGCGGTGCTTTCATGAAAAAAGGCAACGTGATCATGGCGGCAGATGGTGGGGTGTTTGTGTGTGTCTGTTTCATAAGCTACTGGCTAGTTACGGCTAGTTCCAGCAGCTGTTTGAAGTGTAATTGAAGGAAGTATCTTTTTCAGTTAGCTGCCCCCCTCGCGATGTTTGTGAGGTCTGTGTCAGAGGCAGAATCAGAGATTTACTGTAGTTTCACAGCCTCACAGCGACTCTAGGTTGAGACCATCCGGCCAGAGTTTTCCCTCATGTTCAACTTTGGCCCAATCGAATCCATGAATTTTGTGTGTTTCTGCTTTCCTTTTATTTGTTCT